GGTAAGAATAAACCAGAATTAGTATTTTAAAACTCAAATATAGACATAGTTCTGGCTAATTTACGAATCTATATATTAAATGTATTCACCCTATTTCATTTAAGACTATAAAGGGGATAAACGCATATGTTTCCCACAATTAGATTCAAATATTAGTCAGAGTGATTTTTTCTAAGGCAAGGCTATGTGAAATTAAACAGAAACGTTAGACCTACTCATTTTAACGAAAAATGGTGAATAAATCACACATATGATCTACTGTTAGTCCCGAAAACCTACTTATAAATGAAAAATAATTTGTTCTACATTTTGCCTCAAGTCTTTGGTAGCACGTATATTTCCACCTCATTGACCAGGCCCCCAACGTCTGGATACTCAAGCTGGGTGGAAAGTTAACGTGACCCTGCAGATTCCTTAATCATTACTTGGCCTGTTCACCAGATAAATATCGTTATAAAGTTTTTACTTCACGTTCTATGTCTATGATTGAACCCGTCTACTATTAACCAAATATGTTCAAATAAGCAAGTAAGAAATTGTGATAATTGAAAGGTGTTACTTGGATATAGGACAAATGAATACAGAAGGACAGAAGAAGAGATACTACTTTACCTGTCTTTTTGACGATTTTTAATGTGGGGCTAAGCCTGGCAAGGTTCATTGACGTCGCTTACTACCTATCTGGCGAAACGCCTGAGAATGTACTAAGCCCGCGGTTTTGGCATTTGATAATGAGACAGAGGGCTACGACAAGAAGGAACGGAGCTAAGGCATAACGAATTATTGCACGCAAATGCTATATAGGATATAATATATAAATGGACACATTTACCCACTTAGCCAGCCCTGTAGCTAAGTTTGGAAGAATTATTACCTCATGTTTTGCTCTCTACAATATGATAAGAAGGAGATTATCCTATTATTAGCTCATTTATGCACGTTTATTCCCCAAAATGCGTTTGGATAAACATTAGGGGCAGCATGACAACCAGTATGAGTTGAGTATTGTCCTAATGATAATATTATCACCAAGCTAAACCCAAAACTTCCGCCTCGTTAGTAATTTAGCGCTCATTAAGGCAATCCACACATGTTATTAAAGGCACCGATTTTAGCGAAAAACTATCTTTGTTTTTTCAGAGGGTCAACGCTTCTAATGACCTTAGGGTTTTTCTAAACTCTTTCCTTTTCAACTCCGGTAGAGTGGCTAAAAAAAAGATATTAATAATAACTTTGCACGTTTATGAGCCTGCTTTATTTATATATACAATTTCTATATTATCACAGCATTCGAAAAAAATTATTACTATTCCCAAATTACAGAAATTTTACCAGGACTATCTCACCCCTTAATAAACTTTCCACTTGCTTAGTATTTAATGATTTAAGCATAGCACTTGAGCGTACATCACTTTCACTAACTGTCGGAAGGAGCACCAATTTCGCGACTAAGTTTTTGCCTATATGTTTTAAGTATGCTTTTTCTTCCTAGTTAAGTTTTCAAAGTTTATCACTGAGTCTTCTCTTAAGACTTTCAACAAGGTTTCCACTTGAGGAGGCTCTTTATTTTAAAAGGACAAATTTGTTATTCATGAAGGCATTCTAAGAATCTGATCTCCATTTATCAGTCTGTTATTCTATGCTTCCACAGTTTCGTGAATTCCTGGATCCGAATGAACTGCTTAAGGGTGAAGTTGAGGAGACGACTGACAAAGTTCACCAAGTCCTCGTATTAATTCAGCACATCAAGGATACATATCGCAACAAGCGAGAAAACCTCCGCATCTATTTCGAGGGCAACAAGGACTGTCCGGGGCAGCCAAACGCCTATATTCCATGGGACTTCCCTATGCAACTCGTGTTCTCTAGATTGGATGCATTTTATGATCGAGTCAAAACTATTAATGTAGGCTTACTATGTGAACGCTATCACTTTTGAGTTTATATTATTCTATTTATTATATACTCTTATTATTCCTCATTTACACTACTCCCCATCTTTCTATTTTTTCCTCTCCATATACTTGTTTATCTATTACTTAGTTCATTTGTAATTAAGGTAAAAGAGGAAGGGAGGGAGATATAGAGCGATAACGATATATTCGATTATAGATATTGTAGGATTATATATTATCAGTATAGGTTGGTGTAGTAAGAAAGCATATTGACTCAATTCATTAATTTGATCACAAATCGAGTAAAATCAAATCATTTTTGCTTAGCTTTTAGTAAGCTATTGACTATCCTTTATGCCAGAATGCAATCATTTAGTTTATTGTAGACTAAACTCTATAGTGCACGTTTTAATGAGAGCTTTCTTCCATTTGTAACCCACTCACTCGATGATACCTCGGTGCTTTAAAGTGTTCCCTCCTCTTTCTATAAGCATTCGAGCCTAGATGAGAATAAAGGAGCCATTTCAACTGAAATGGTCTGCCGCATACTTATGATCCTCGATTTATATAAACCAAAGTATATACCTCTACTGGAACCGCACCTTAAAAAGCATTTTCAGCCTTTATACTTAGCACAGGCTATCTCCGTCTAATGGGTCCTTAAAGGTCAATGTATCCAGTTTTGGATCGCAGGCCTGTCCAAGGACAACAGCTTTAAATCGATCTCTTGCGTTATTTAGATCTATTTCATTCTATATGCAAAAGTTTTAGGACACTGTCATAATTTAGGCCATAGGTTGAAACAACAATGCATACAATAACTTTCATGTTCTTCTTGAAGTATAACTAAAGCATCCATATGTAACCATTCTTTACAAGTAGAAGCATGGAGCTGTCCTACCATTTTACTTTAGCCGACACCTTTTTGCTCCCACAAGACATGATTATAATCTTTAGAGT